ACCCTTACAAAGGGTTACCGTAGATACAAAGTTGGATAGGCATTCAGCCGTGTCCCGACAGGTGTGGGGGTAGCGCGGATCCGGTCCTCTGAGGCAAGGGCGTCCGGCTATATCTGAGGACACTTGGATTTGTTACCCCTCTGGTATGGAGGTAGGTCTCATTCTACCATGAATGCACCGTACTCGGAGTAGAGGTACTCTAGCCAGTAAAACCACGTTTTCCTAAATCTGCCATCGGTGTGGTGTAGGGCCGCAGTGAGCTCCTCCATCACCCGCATCTCGTCCACTTTCCGTAGCCACATTGTGACCGTAGGTGGGTGAGAGCTTTTCCACCGTAGCGGTATACAGGCCCTGGCAGCATTTACTAGGTGGATGAGTAGGGAAGTGCGGTATTTGGTCCGAGACAGGGTGGACTTGTGGAGCAACAGCGCGACTGGATCTCTAACCCTCACCTGTCTGGCTTTGATCTTGCCAAGTAGCAAGTCTTCCAGTTTTTGGCGTTGAGTCCATAGTTCGGCTTCCACTGTCACAGCTAAAGTTTGCTTGTGGCGGATTTCTAACTGATGAATTTGGGTCAGTAGGGTGGAGATGGTTTCTAGTCGCTCGCGTTTGGCCCTAGAGGCATGTAAAATAAAGGTACCCCTCGTACAACATTTGTGAGCTTCCCAAATGGACAAGGGAGGAGAGTCTGGCAATTTGTTCTGTTGAAAGAAATGAGTCAGTTCCTGACTAATGTGGGTCAGCAAGAGGGGGTCGTCCAGTAGGAGATCGTTTAGCTGCCAGTGCCACTGTCCACGGCCCTCCGTATGGAGGAGCATACTCAGTAGGACCGGAGCGTGATCGGAGACCGTGAGAACATCTATGGAGGTATGTCGGAGTCTGTGCAAGTCTCTTTGCCTGATCAGGAAATAGTCTATTCTTGAGTAAGTACGGTGTGCGGTGGAGTAGAATGAGTAATCGCGTTCTCGCGCGTGCATGAGGCGCCACACATCTACCAGCTGCTCCGTGTGGAGAGTCTTACGTAGACGACGGAGGAAAGAGTAAGATAGATGTGAGGCGTCTCTAGAAACGTCAAGCTGCGGGTCCAGGGCGACATTGAAGTCCCCTCCCATGATAAGAATCCCCTCGACAAAGTCAGACAAAGCGAGGAGGCAGTCCTCTACGAATGAGATTTGGTCGGAGTTGGGGGCGTACACGTTGACCATGGTGACCAAGGCACCACAGAAACGTCCCTTTACAAAAATGTATCTGCCCTCCATGTCACACACTGTAGCAATATGCTGCCAACCCGAGGACCTAGCCACCAACACACTGACCCTCTTTGCCTTGGCAGTAGAGGAGGAGCTATGGTATGTAAATGGAAAGTGAAAATCGGTAAGTCTGGGTATACAGTCTGATCTGAAGTGGGTCCCCTGCAAAAATGCCTCCTGTACCCTATGTCTCCTCAAGTCCCCCAGCACCCTGTTAAGGACCGGGTTGGAAAGGAGAAAGACAGAAGAATAAAAATTGCGTTATGGTGCAACAACACTTTCTAACAAAATAAACAATTCTGATTATTCAAAACAAAATACTCTATGACAACCCTCAACGCAGGCAGCGAAGAAGGAACCTAAGGTGGAGGAGTGTAAAACAATGGAACATAGTGAGATGCTCCCTGTAATATCCACTCAAGTAAGCTATCCCCATAGCAGAACATGTGAACAAGTAGAAAACATCGGAACTAGTAAGTAAACGGCCCCTCATCGAGCATCCTCTAAGGCATGGCCGACCCCAGTTGTTTTGCTGCACTTCCAATAGCTACCCCTCCCCAGCAGGCACCAGTGCCATCATTTAAGGTCTCCATATCCCTCTGCTGACATCAGTGATTAAGTAGCATAAATCTAAACACACGTTACACGTTACCCCCCCAGATAGCGGTCTCTATTTTGGTTACCATGCAGCGAAAGCACACACTAGCGTCTCCCCAGTCCGCCCGGACGCGTCCCAAATAAGAGGACGGGAGAGGGGTGGGTGGTGGGGAGAGTCGTTGCAGCCGGCGTGTATGCCCAACCGACAGCATGATGTAAGACAATCCCACTAACACAGCACTATATCTTTTAAACAATAAACATCAAGTTCACTTTTAGTGCGGCTTGCAATTGAGTGGTGTATAGCTTCACAGGGCAATGTCTAGACCAATTCGTCGGAGAGAAAAAAGAAAAGAGAGTTGGCTTGTTGCATCAGGGTGCCGGAGATTGTGCTCCTCAGAAGTACCGGGTAGTGAAACATAGCGAGCAAGAACCGTCCAATAAGGATACATCCAAGTCGGCGGCCACTGGGAGGTGCAGGGAGGAGGGGGGGGGGGAATCGCTAACGGCAATAGAGGGGGACCATCCATCATGTCTCAAGGGCAACTTGGGGGCCATTTAAATGGCAAGGGACAGGAGTCAACCCCATCAGTAGGCAGCGTTCCAACGGTCGGAGGATGAGGAGCATACGATGAGAAGGCCGTGTTGTAGTCCCCGGACAGGAAGAACCATGTAGAACAGCATACTGTAGATCCAGTTTTAGGACAGACAGCAGGATCCGACCCAGCGCCCTCACACCTCGTGAGCAGTGGGGTCAGCGTCGGAACGGCGGCGAGAGCGCCCTCTGCGGGGCCGCTGTGATCTGGGGGCCGGTGGTAGTGTAGGCCTCGTGGCGGCAGGGAGCATGAGCCAATCCGGGATTTCAACTGGATCAGTGCCCAAGAAGGCAAATAACTCCGGCAGTTGGTCCGGCGTCAGCAGGACGAAAGTGGCTCCGTCCTTTTGTACCTGTAGGTGGAATGGGTGACCCCATTTGTAAGACGCTCCAACAGAGGAGACCTTAGAAAGGAGTGGCCGCATCATGCACCTGAGAAAAAGAGTGTGTCTGGATAGATCAGGCATTATGGTGATCACAGCTCCATCAAAGTCCACTGACTTTTTAACCCATGCCTGCCGCATTATCGCCTCTTTCTGTGTGAAAAAATGAACCCGGCATAAAACGTCTCTGGGGCCATTGCGGTCAGTACCCCTGGGACCACTAACTCTGTGGACTCTGTCCATCTCTAGGTGGGTAGAGGGGTCACGGTCCAGCAGTTGGTTTAGTATGCCTTGTACAGTGGATCGGAGGTCGGCACCCAGCGTGGACTCGGGAACTCCACGCAGGTGAACGTTGTTCCTGCGGTTCCTATTTTCCCCATCGTCCATCTTTAAGTATAGCAGGGCTTGGGCCTTCGTCTGGGCCGCGACCGCAGATTCAAGTGCGGATACTCTGGCCGTCAGCTCAGCCTGGGAGGTTTCTGACTCGGTCACCCTCTGCTCTAAACCGGCAACCGTCTGGGCAACCCCCTCAATCTCCCTTCTCAGGGTCCCTTCGACTTGCTGTGCCAGGAGTTGTACGTCCTCCTTAGTGGCTAAGGATTGTAGCAGGGCCCTAAGGTCCTCCCCGATCACTGAGGTCAGTAGCGGCGAAACCGAAGGAGCGGACATCGCGGGCTGTGAGCCGGCATCTAGCCCCACCGGTGGCCGTAATTGGGGATTATCATCCGTGGGGAGCCAGGGGAAGAGGGTCTCGTAGCTGTCAGAGACTGACCTGATCCGGAAGGTCCCGCCATGCGGGAGGCAAGATGGCTGCCGGACTCAGTGCGCCTGAGAGCCGCCGTTGAGGGCCTCTGAGCTGTCGGGGCGAAGTAGCCGGGAATCGTCTTCTGCTGTGACCGGGTTGATCGCCTGTCACCGAACATGGGGATTAAGGTATGTTGCTAGTAGTAGTCAGCTGCAATAGGTAAGGTCGGGAGCAGAGCTCAGCACAAACGCGACTCTACTGCTCCATTGCTTGGCCACGCCCCTCTGTGTATGAATTTTTATCTTCAGTTACTGAACTCTGTAAACAGCAGTTTTTTCAGCAAAGTAGGTAAGCATTATAAACTTGTGAAAAGAACCCAAATCGGGAGATTCAAGTGATATCTCTTGTTCAGTCCCTTTGGCTAACTTAATAAATAGGAGGTGATAGGACTTGCGTGCCAAACACTGGATTCATTGAAGTACAGTATATCTATAAACTTTTTTGGGGGTGTTTGAATAGTACATTGATGGATGAAAACCCTTGCCAAGTTTTTATTGCTCTTTGTGTCCCAATTATAGACATTTATCTCTATTTTTTCTGGTGATCAGTGTCAAAAATACAGAAGTAACAGCAAATCCAACATTGTGCACTTGTCACCAGAACAAGAGATTAAGAGAAATCCCCCAATGGCAACACCGGTTCCTGTGACAACTGTCTAAGAGGGGAATCTTTTTTTTTTTTATAGGATCTTCCTCTTCCCATTGTGTCTCCAGGACAGGAAGCAAAAACTCCCCAATATGAGGCAGAAATCTAAAAATAAACAAAGAAGGGTTTACACGTTTCCCTGCTCTATCCTGATCTAAAAATCTAAAAGTTTTGACTATATGATTGACATATTGACATATGATTTTTCTGACCTTCTGGCCTTTTATTCTCAAACACTGCTGGGAGTTAGTAACACCAGCCTCACAGCATTGTGCTAGCAGAATCTTGGACTTGACAATGTCACGTTAAATGGTTTCTCAAGTATATTAAACCTAGTCCTCTTTTACACATCGTTTTTAATATAACATGATTAAGGTTTTCTCACCCTTGTTTTTCTTAATCTCTAGCACTGTATTCCTGTTCTGTTTGATAATGTTTACCTTGTGGCGGTTTACACTTCAGAGCCTAACATTATATAACTGGTTGAGATTATTGAAGCATTAGATGCACGCCATGACAGCCAACACAGTGATGTTTCTCACTTCAGCAGGCACTAAGCTGCATTAGCCCCATGGGAAGAAAGAAAAGTTATTTTCCTCAAGTCTCCAGAAACTGACGTAATGTAGCATACAAAAGAATACTATAGTGTAGCCCTTCTTAATTGTTGGTTTTATTCTGAAATGAAAAATTTGGTTTACATTTATATGTTTATTCTGTCTTTATAGAATCAGATTCAAAAGATGCAGAAATCTAGCAAAAAGAATGCAGATCTGGCCAATAATGTTCTTTTTCCTATTAGCCAGACTGCATTCCAGTCTGTGGGTAAACGCTCGTGGACAGATGTACTGCTCCAGATATATAAGGTGAGATCATTTCTATTTCTTCTATTTGTTATGAGCAAACCAATCTACTAAATTTCCATTGGCTTGATTTTAACAGTTAAACTGCCCATACACCTTGTAATGTGCAATCTGTATTCAATCTTCTTTAGGCCTACCAAAACTATGTAGTAGATTCCCTAGCCAAACAAACACTATTCAGGAAGGCTCTTGTATTAAATAATTGACAGAAGAGCTAAATAAGTTTGTTCAATCATAGTGCAATATGTATGGCCAGATTAACAGCTGTGGCTGGATTAAAGACTCCAGCCACAACCTTTTGAATGTAAAGCTCATTAAAACTTCTCCCCAATTTTAAATTCTGTCTGCATTCAGTCAAGGTTTTTTTTCTGCTATGAAATGCTGCCTGTGTCCCCATCAAGGAGATTTATCTTCTTTTCCTGTTCTATTTGAAACATCTCAACTGGACAGGAAGTGAGGGGAAATCTCTTAAATGGGAACATTAAAAGACAACAATGAAAATACAACAGAGATTCTGTTGTTGGTTATTGCCCATTGTTGTAAATCATTACCAGTTGAGTTTCTGGCTCTGTTTCTTGTTCTAAGAATAATGCAGAAGATGTTTGCAGGTCCACCTTCCATCACAGATCCTCAAAATATTTTTTCCCCTTATTTTAGGGTAGCAGGTGGAGCCATGTAAATTATCCCCGTATGCTCGTTGCCTTAATGTACAACCAGAATAGCTGATTTATAGTACAGATTCGACCAAATATTATAGAGTCATTTTTCCAAACTGCATGCAACTGTTGAGACTGGTTTTGATTTTGATGAAAGTAGAACCTTCAAATACCTTCTGTTTCAAAAATGCTCGACTGTGTTTGTCACCAATTAGGTGGGTGGCTTTTTGGTTCCTTTTAGCTCACCTCACCATAATGGGTCTGGTTGTTCTGTTGTATACCATTAATGAAAATTGTTAAACTATGACAGCAAATTCATTCTCAAAAATCCCAAAAACCGCGCTGTACAAATTAATGATATCCAATTTCCACAAATGATCATAAGAAGTACATATACAGTTGTATTTATTCAGCAGTAATAGCCAAAAAAAGCTGACTTGAATGCTCAAACACTAGTAAAAAAATATCAGGTTGGACAACTGTCTAAACTGAGGAAGGTTTTGTATAAGATCAAAAGCAAGGTGCAATAATAATAATCATTATATATATATAGATCTATATATATATATATAGATCTTACTGAGAATAGCTGAGTATGGTGGTAATCAGGGCCATACTAAAAAATTCCTCCAGCATATTGTATAATAATGTAATTTGTTGGAAAAGATCTCATTCTCTACAGCTTATGTTTCATAATTACTTATTTTATTGTGGTGCAAAGATAAATCTATTTTATTTATAATAAAATATGCCAGTTATGAAAGGCCACAAGGCAACACAGAAGTACTGTATATTTCTGTGATGCAAATGGCATTTTGTTGTATGCTGTACAAATAATATAATCCTCTGAGCTCAGCGACCTGCACCTCCCAGATCAGCAGCTTTACATTACCAATGACCCAGTCCACACCTCTCACAGATCGCTAAAACATCCACCAACCAGGTCCCCACCGTGCCTCCCACTCTCTGCATCACGCCCCACACCCCCATCTCGGATCCCTGCCACACTCAACATCTGACCCAGGCTCTCCTACTGAACCCCGCTCATCCCCAACCCTTCCACACTCCCATCTGCCCACACACTACTTTAAGTGCCGATCACCCTGAGCAACCATCCACATTTCGCCGTTGATAACGCGCCAGTACCTACTCCCTGGTAAGTCTGATACCCTCATTTGTTTCTGCCAAGTCACTTTCTGGTAGTGGCGCTTCTGTACTTTTTGTTTTTGCTCGGTGTCCACCACCCATCTCTGCCAATCATTCCTCTTGATCCCACGAATACAATTCTAAATACTACCAACAGCATACAAAGCCATCCACTATGTCCTGAACTATATCACCAACCTCATCTCAATATATAACCCAAACCATCCTAATCATTCCTCACAAGATTTTCTGCTCTCTAACTGCCTAATCACCTTCTCTCATGCTCATTTCCAGGACTTTTCCAGAGTCTCTCCCATTTTCTGGGACTCCCTAACCCAATATCAAGGCCTCCACCTTTAGGGGATCCCTGAAAATTTATATTCTGGAAAGTCTATCCTGCCTCTACCTAATAACTGAACTTTCCCCCTTCCCGTCGACTTAACCCCTCACAATTACTACCCTTGGTATTACTTGCACATCCCATTTGGATTGTAAGCTCTCATGAACAGGATTCTCTAACTCTCTTGTCTTGCATTGTATTGTATAATATGTTGCCATAGAAAAACCTTTGTAAAAGGGATCTAATGTCAGAAAATGTAATTCAGGCCTTGAGGAAAAGTCCTCAAGGTTTCCTTGACTGATAGAATATGATCTACAATATACATGTAATCATGAAATGAGGCTTTCTTTTACTGCTGTATCTTTTTTTTCTTTAGGTGTTGATTCTCTCACGTGTTGAACAGAGAAAGACCGATGATGAGATTGTGATTGATAGCATGCCAAAGATCAGTGCTGAGCCTCTGTCAAGTAATATATACTCCACATCAGAAAGAATTCTTCTTACTTGGCTCAATGTTCATTATGAAAAGATGAGAAAGGTGGCATGGAAAAACTGTAAGAAAGGTAAATAAAAATCATACTTTTATGCTGTGATAGGGATGCATATAGAGTGGCTCATGGCTTGACAAATTCTGGGCACAACCTTGCAAGTTAACAGTTCACATGGAATCAATCCCTCTATGACCCGAGGATCTTAAATACCCAGATCTAATTTAACTAATTCGATATCCATAAATTAACTTGACAACAGCTTTAGGATTTATTTGCCTACCGAAATAATTTTAACAATATTTTAAAGAAGATTTCTGTGCATGTACAAAATTAACCCTTGCAGTGGAAAATACCTCCGCATTGCAAGGGTGAAAGTGACATTAAACCCTCAGATTTTTTAACATAAACCAATACTGTAATGTGCGCCTTACTGTAATCCATGGTAGTTTTCCTTCTCTTTGCTGCTCTTCCTTTTAAATCCTCATGTCTTCTCATGCTTGAGGAGAACTTCCCTTTTCAGCTCAGGGCCTCTTCCTGTAGTGCTGGCTCAGGTTACAAACCTATACAAACCTATACACAGACACCATGTATCGATTCCAGAGACAAGGCAGTCTGCTGTAAAACAGAAGTTCTACCCAGCATGAGAACAGATACAGATTTAAAAGGAAGAGCAGCAAAGAGAAGGGAAACAACCATGGATTACAGTAAGGCACACATTACAGTATTGTTTTATGTTAAAAAATCTGAGGGTTTAATGTCACTTTAAGTGCTCGTTTTGTTCTACGGTCTACCTGATCTTTGATCCCACCTGGCTTCTGGACCGGTCCCCACAGCCTCTTCTCCCCCTGGCTCCAGCGGTCTAAGGACCTGTGATCTCATCACGTCCATTGACATGCTTTGAGGGGGAAGACAGTGAGGGACATTCCACAGCCAGAGTGGAATGGGGAAGAGAGAGGAACGGTTGCCGCTGTGGGACCGAGGAACGGTTGAGTTCATCTTTTATATTTTGGACCCTGGAGCCAAACAAACACTTAACCCACATCAGTGTGGGGGTAACCCCACTGCAAAGGTTAATTTTGTACATGTCCAGAGTTTTTCTTTAATGCCATATAATGCTTTTATTGGGTGCACTGTCTTCCTTCCCATTTTTTTTCCAATCCTTGCCCATTTTTATCATGAGCTGACAATTAATAATATTCATTTCACACACTGATTATTTGTACTATTTACTACTATATTTACACAGTGCCATTTGCAGGCTGTAAAGGTCTTCATAAGTTTGGGAACCGCACTAATTGGTTTCTGGCCATTAGGGTGAGGGATGCGGATGTCAGTGTAGTCTTGGAACTGGAAGAACTCACAGGTGCATGCTGCTGGGTCATGGGTGGAGCATAGATTAACGTTCCCTCAGCATGCAAAACTGTGTCTGGTAATGTTACTCTACAATTTGTATTTGTCAAGTGGTAAAATAAGCTTTTAGCAGGCTCTATCAGGTTTTAAGGAAACATCCAACACTATTAAACAAGTGGTGAGCATTTTTTAAGGCTTCAGCAAATATTCTGTATAGAATCTACAGTATATTCAACACACCCAGGTTAATCCTGAATAATATTTTTAAAGAAAGCTGTTATAAGAGGAACACAGATGTTTCCCATATAAATATGAAAAATGAAGTAAGCATAAAAATATCCCAGGCCATTTCTGTCGGACAATGTTAAGGACTCCCTGAGGAAAGGCACATTGAGCCTGAAGGGTTGTTCTTTATGGCTGGGATACTTGAATCACTTATTCCCATCCTTCAGAAGTGCATTCCTGTGTCTGCCATAAATAGTGCATGATGATTGAGGCCCACGCATCATGCACAGCGGACACTTGGCCTGACCTCTACTATGTACAACAAAAGGTTATGCAGCACCAGGAAAGGCTGCACAGTAAGGATTTCCAGAGTGAGAAGGTAAGTATTTAATGTGTTAGTTTGCCATTCTGCACATTTAGAGTGGATGCATGCTTTCTATCCTCCGCGGCACATTACAAAGCACTTTTCAGATGTTAAAAAAACTACCCCTGCTGCTAGTGGCTGCACTGCACATGGGCACAGTTTTCACAAGCCAGGAGCAGCCACTTGGGGCACACTATAAACTTCCTTAATGTAAGCAATTATGTTGCGCTTGGTTGTGAATAATTGTGAAAGAAGAAGATTATTCACAACCAAGCGCAACATAATTGCTCACATTAATCACGTCCATACACATTGTTGCAGCTGGTGATTTTAGTGTACACTTTTTACACTATACCGTACCAGTCTCTCGGCCAGCTGGGCAGACACCGCTCTCCAAGCTCTCCCGGATCCGCCCACGGCTCCTGTGTGGACAGTGCCCACGTGATTTGCCCTCAGCCTGCTACTGCGCATGCGCAGACTGCCCAGTGCTCTCATTCAGAAATCCTGTGTATGCACAGTAGTAGGCTGAGCGCCGATTACGTGGGCACTGTACACACAGGAGATGTGGGCAGATCTTGGAGAGCAATATCTGCCCAGCTGGCCGATGGACTAGTACGGTAATGACTGCTGCTAAGGATCTATGAGAGGGGAATGATTTGTCTGCAGGGTGGGGGTTGTGTCACCATATTATCAGATTTGTTTGCCCGGCTTGACACTGATTGGCTGGGAAGACGGCTTCCCGGCCAATCAGCATAGAGCCGGCCAAACAGCATGGAGCCAGCTTCCCGGCTCCATGTTCCCTCGCAGCACTGCGGCTCTGAATATCGGGAAAGGTATGGGAGCATTTGGGCGAGTACGAATACTTGGTATCGGCACCAATACCAGTATCGGTGCATCCCTAATGGAAAGCATGGGGGATTGCTTGAAAAATGTGAACTAACACTTTTTACAATTCACTGGGGAAGGGAAAGGGTGCTAAAAGTGAATTTCTCCTAATAACTCTGGAAATTAGGAAAACAAAATCCTCCAGAAGTTCTCCTTTCACTCATATGCACATACATGCTTGTACCTTACAAACACAAATGTGATTGACTTTCACCATTGTATCTAATCTCTGCAGTAATCATAAGACATTTATATGATCAGCAAACATTTCCAAACAACTGGTTTGTCAATTCTGTTTAGTCAGTCTGTAATAGACCTCCGCACCTCTTTCACTGCCTGATTGTCATATAGAACTTTTTGAAATGACATGCAACATATAGCAGAGGCTAGTAAAGCACAAAAGGAAATATTTGTATTTTTCCATATTTTATTCATTTAAAGAAATTAACAAGCGCTACTTATGACCATCCTGTTCTAAGATTTACAGAGCTTTGCCACAGAGTGGAGCCCTGTGTAACAGAGGAGAATACCTGATGCAGTTCAGCAGCACTTACAGGTCTCCTCCCTGCCCCCCAGCCAGTAAATGGACATTGAATGGAGAAGCAGCAGATTGATGAGCTAATATATATGTCATGCTCTCTCCTCCTGTTAGCATGCTCCTTGCACTGCCTCAGAACTGATTGGCTCCTTGTGCGGCTTCTCCCTCTCCCAGTCTGAGCTCTGCTTTACAATGGACTGCAAAAGGATTATACCAAGTCAAATACAGGTTTTTGCACTGTTAAAAAAATATGTATAATAATGTAGTTATGAATACATAGCTGCAATAATGTGTTTCTTTTTTCTGCTTGGTGTTCAGCTTTGAAGAATAATTAGGCAGCTAAAAACAGTAAACAATAGTTTATATGGAACAAACAATGCTATAAATTATGTGGAAATGAGGAGCAGCTTCTATGAGCCTAATTACTAAATTACTGGTACACAGTAAATGATTTGAAAATTACCTGTTTTGTACAGCAGTTCTCAATCGTAAGCAGATTGGTTTTCCAGATTCTTATTTTGTAGTTATGGGAATTTTTTTTTAAATGTTTAGCTTTTTGAAACCAATAAAACCCAGTTATTGCTATTGTAACTCATTAAAATGTAGTTATATTTCTTACATTTTTTATAGCAACAGTATGTGCTTTATAATCGCCACAGTTTATGCCTGTGTTCCTGTAAGGCATTTTGTAGATATGATGCTGTCAAGTATACATGGTGGTAATGACCATGTATTTTGTTAATTAGAAAATGAAGGGGGCAGCCCTTTGGCTTTCTTGCAGACATCAGCTGAGTTAATGAAGTGTTCTGTTTGGAAATATTGATCCAGAAAAGAGAAGTACACATAAATAACCAGTTTTTCTTCTTTTTTTTTAGAAAGAGTATTTGATATCACTTGCAGGTGATCATTTCAGCATGTTATTAAGATAGAATAAATATTAGTTAAATGTGGTACTAAGTGTGTATGGAGGCGGTGGTGGCGGGGGAGTACATAGAACAGGAATGCCGAATGAAATGCTGAATTGCGTAGGAAAGCACAGTAGAGGGCAAACTGTTGTCTTCTGAAGGCCATGATTAAAACACAAACGTCTTCCTAACATAGCAATTGGGAAATATATTGAAAGCAAACATTTCTGAATATTTGTTAACTTATTTTATTTGGTATAATTTAATTGATGGACATTTTAATAGCACAAAATGTTTTTCACTGCACTCAGAAGAAAAGCCACCCCACTGGTGTTTGTTGGGTTTCATGCATCTTAGGGCTTTGTTTGCTAAGAGCAGCCAGGGGCTGAAAGCACGTGGGTGACCATTAACAGACAATTCATACCTACCCTAAAATAGTTTGGGTCCCCAATTTAAATGTTGTAACTGGACTGATGTTATGGAAAGACCTATTTCACAAGGATACCCTTCAATATAAAACCTTTCTGGAATTAATGCAGGAATACAACATGCCAAAACAGCATTTCCTCTAGTATCTTCAAGTTTCGAAATCCTGGAAGGCAATCTCCAAAAGCTCACAATTGTTTTTTGCTTCACCAAATCTCAACCAAACCTATTCTATATCTACAATTTATACCTTTAATGTAAAATCATTGGAACACCTCAACATTAAGGACTGGGCCAAGGATTTTCCTACTGCAGAATTAGTTGATAAGCTATTGCCAGGTTACAACAAGGACAGACAGGTGGTGATCAATGAGGAGACCTAAGTCGCCAGGAGTCTGTTTAAACAGCCCCGATGCTGGCGACGTACACTGTACGTCGTCAGTCACGAAGGGGTTAAATTTCCCCACAGGGCCTATGTACTATACTTTGTGCCTGGGCCCTTGGGCTCTTCTGTTCAAATAACATCCTGCTGTCCTAAATGCAATTTTAACCGTCCTACATTGGCTCATTGCCTATGGCCGTATCCTCAGATTACTCTTTTCTGGCAGCGCATTGCTGGTTATGTAAACGCCATATTTCAATGGTCAGCTCCGTTAGAGCCATTGCTTTTCTTGTTCAGCTGTCAGACCTCCGATGCACACATTTTGACAGGGGGGTAGGGATAGTGGCCAGGAATGGCTACATATTTGTTTGATAACAGTCGTAAGTGTATGATGCGGATGTGGAAAAACCCTTTCCCTCCTCCACACTCTGCTGCGGTAAACAACTTAAAGATGCTTTTCTCTAGAGAGAAATTGGATGCAAAACTCCACAAGGATACCCATACCAAACGTTTCTTTCATAGATGGCAGGTTTTTATTTGTAAAACTTTCAACAAGGCTGAAATCAAATTTACATCTTGGTATCTGGAAGCTAGTCTCTCAAATTCTTTGGGTGCACTGGTGGTAGACACTTGATGTGGTGCGCTAACTTAACTTACTATATTGGAACCTGGCAGCCTCTGTTTTGTTGTTTATTGCTTTGTTTTATTATTTTATTAGTTTTGTCTACTATTTGTGAGGAGGAGAACAATTAAATATTGCCAAGATATGGCTACAATATACTGAAAGCATTTATATTGTAATATCATTCACAAATATACAGTATATTCCCTACTGGTCTATTTGTTGTGTCTTAAACCTTTTCACAAAATTAATAAAATATATGTTAAAAAATGTTTTAACTGGTTGAAGGCTACAAAGAAAAAGCAAAAATTGTGTGTTTGCTTCAAACAAACACTAACTTGACATATTTGCTATCACTAGAAGCCCGCTTTACCTGATTGCTGCAATACTTTGCACAGCAAAGTTAAATACAATACCACATTTCTCAATAGTTCAGGCATAGGACCTTACAGAAACTGACATGTTAGTGATATTGCAAAGTCTTCTATAAGTAAATTGTAAGTTCTAACAGGTAGGGTCCTCCTGACCCTCCTGTCTTGCATTGTATTGTGACTGTACTGACTCCCTTTATTTTGTGAAGTGCTGCTCAAAGTATTGGTGCTACAAAAATACTGTAAAATAATAATAATAACAATAACCACTAGTTGATTTAGGCACTTTCCCTGTAATGGGAGAACAGTTAGTATTTGGGTCATGTTGTGACACCCTTGTGTGCTATCATCTCCACTTCATCCTGCTGATTTAAAGACAGCTGGCATAGAAGAGAATAGAAGAAACATTTCATGCATAATAAAAGCTGATATTTGTATATAGGGGT